TGCACTTAAGTATAGTTACGATCCAATGAGTCAAAGTCTCTTCATTACTAAAATGGAAATAGTAATTACCACTTCACAAGGATTTTCTTAGAGTTAAACAGACAATGGATAAAAGTGCTTGCGTAACAGCTGGGTGTTGTGGTTGCATTGTTTCTCTCCTGGATCCCCAATGAAATGACAAAGCTAGAAAGTTTTCACTTTCAAAAGGAAAATGGGAGAAGAGTGCTGCCAAATTAATTCCAGTGAATATAAAAATAAGAGACATCTTTAAGTATGTGATATATTTTACATTATTACAATTCACATTCTACAGCTTCCCCTGCATCTGAGACCCAGGCAGACACCACTATAACAAGCAAAGTATTTACTTATAAGAATGAAAACTAGGTGGGGAGCCGGTGACTCATGCCTGTAATCCTAGCTACTCAGGAGGCTGAGATCTGAGGATAGCAGTTCAAAGCCAGCCTGGGCAAGGAAAGTCTGTGAGAATCTTATTTCCAATCAAACACCAGAAAACCAGAAGTGGTGCTGTGGCTCAAGTGGTAGAGTACTCACCTTGAGCTGAAGAGCTCAGGGATAGTGTCCAGGCTCAGAGTTCAAGCCCCACAACCAACCAAAAAAAAAGAAAGAAAGAAAGAAAGAAAGAAAAAGACAAGAATAACTTTGGAGGTGATAGGTACACCTAGCTCTTTCTAACTGCCATAGCAGTATATTTATATGTAAAATTTCATAGAGCTACACATTTTTAAATTGTGACATTTTAAAGAGAGGCAGAGATTGGTAGGAACATGGTTAAAAGCCACCCTACAAAAAAGTTAGTGAGAAAGTGGGTGTGATGGCACACAAATACAATCCAAGTTCCAAGGCAAGCTTACGTAGGAGCACTGTGATCTGAAGCCAATCCCTGGCAAAGGAGGAGTAACCACAGCTGAATGGACTGGGGTGTGGCTCACGGCTTACAGCATCTGTTTGCCAAGCACATGGCCCTGATTTGGAACTCCAATATCATCTTCAAAGAAAAAAGAAAAAGAGAAAGGGACGAAGGGAGAAAGGGAGGGAGAAAGGAAGGAAGAAAGGACAAATGAAAGAAAAGAAAGAAAGGAAGGAACAAAATCTGGGCTATATTTTTCTAGTTTTCATTCTTTTTTTTTTTTTTTTCCAGTTCTGAGGCCTGAACTCTGGGCCTGGGCGCTGTCTCTCAGCTCTTCAGTTCAAGGCTAGTGCTCTACCACTTGAGCCACAGTGCCACTTCCGGTTTTCTGGCTGTTTATTGGAGATAAGAGTCTCACGGACATTCCTGCCCAGGCTGGCTTTGAACCATGATTCTCAGATCTCAGCCTTCTTAGTAGCTCGGATTACAGGCGTGAGCCACTGGTGCCCAGCCTAGTTTTCATTCTTTTTTTTGGGGGGGGTCTGGTTGTGGGGCCTGAACTCTGGGCCTGGGCGCTGTCCCTCAGCTCTTCAGCTCAAGGCTAGCGCTCTACCACTTGAGCCACAGCACCACTCCCGGCTTTTTTTCTTTTTGCTTATGTGGTTCTGAGGAATCAAAGCCTGGGCCTCATGCATGCAAGGCAAGCGCTCTACCACTGAGCCACTTTCCTAGCCTCCTAGTTTTCATTCTTTTTTTTTTGGTCCGGTCCTGGGGCCTGAACTCTGGGCCTGGGCGCTGTCCCTCAGCTCTTCAGCTCAAGGCTAGCGCTCTACCACTGGAGCCACAGTACCACTTCCGGCTTTTTTCTTTTTTGCTATGTGGTGCTGAGGAATCGAACCCAGGGCCTCAGGCATGCAAGGCAAGCGCTCTACCACTGAGCCACCTTCCCAGCCCCAAGTTTTCATTCTTGTAAGTAAATACTTTGCTTGTTTTAGTGGTGTCTTGCCTGGGTCTCAGCTGCATGGGAAGCTGTGGAATGTGAACTGTTTGTGCTCATAACTTGGGACTAGCCACGTCTTGTTGGATTAGCCCTTTTATTGAATGTAGCTCCTACCCATTTCCTCCTATAAAACTAATTATTGCTGGATGCCAGTAGCTCACACCTGTAATCCTACTCAGGGGGACTGTGGTTCGAAGCTAGCCTGGGCAGAAAGTCCCTGTAAGATTCTTATCTCTAATTAACTGCTCAAAAACTGGAAGTGGCACTGTGGCCCAAGTAGTAGAACTCTAGCTTTGAGCACAAAGAGGTTCAGGGTTAGTGCCCAGACCCTGAGTTCAAGCCCTACAACTAACAAAACAAACAACAACAACAGCAACAGAACCTAAATACTTAGTATTTATTCATTAGTGTTCTCCTTGCTATTTTCTCCCAGTTTCTACTCTGGTTAATTAAGGTCCCCATACAGCATGAAGATATAATCTTGCTTCTATAGTAATCTAAAGGCATTAGAGTAGTAGTGACTGTTTATCATTAAGAACTGCTGAAGCTAGGTGCTGATGGCCTATAAACTTAGCTATTCAGGAAGCTGAGATCTGAGGATCACTGTTTGAAGCCAGCCCAAGCAGGAAAGTCTGAGAGACTCTTATCTCCAAGTAATCACCAAAAATCCAGAAGAGGAGCTGTGGCTCAAGTAGTAATGTGCTAGCCTTGAGCACAAAAGCTCAAGGACAGTGTCCAGGTCCACAGTTCAAGCCCCAGGACTAGCTCCCCCCCCCGAAAAAGAACTGCTACAAACACAAAGTTGTGTCTTATCAACTACAATACATTTGTAGCTATGTTTCCGCATCCTGACTGGAGAAGAGTTCTGAATATAGTGTCTTTAGTACTGAAATTGTTTTTAGGCACACTCCTATGATCTAGTAACAAGAAAATATACCACAATGCTACCACTATGCAGTCTTAAGTAACCTGTGAGAAATCACCAACTAAAAGGGCATAGGGAATTGAAATTTCAATCAAAATTTGGACCTGGATGCAAGATCTTAGTGAAATATCACTAAATTCATGAATAAACCAACAACTCCACAACTGACAAGTAATAGTGAAGGAGAAGAAAATTCAAATAATAAACTCAACAAAATGGTGAAATCAGCTGAGATGCCCAACCACAGATGAATAAAAGACATGATACAATCTAGACAGGTGCTGGTAGCTCACATCTGTAATCCTAGCTACTCAGAAGGCAGAGATATAAGGATCCTGTTTCAAAGCTGAGACTCTTAACTCCTATTGACCATAAAAAAACAACAACAAATAAAAACAGAGCTATGACTTGAGTGGTAGAGCACTAGCCAGGCTCAGAGTTCAAGCCCCAGGACAGGCAACAAAAAAGAAAAGAAGAAAAAAAATGATTTGGTACACATATATTATGGATTACAAAGACATAAAGAAAAATAAAATTACATCATTAATGAATTTATGTCATCAGCAAGAACCTGGCATGGAATTTAAACCATCAGTTTGAGTGTGATAAGACAAACCTAAAAAACAAATATGTGGATGTTAGACTTTAAATGTTCCTGTATACAAAGTATATGATTCTATATCTATGGGACTAAAATTTTGAACTTAAAGTATTAAAGTCTCAAATAATTTTGTTCAAACATTTCCAAGGACTTTAAAAGGATCTAGAAAGATAGTATTACAAATCCAAAATTTTCTTAAAAAAAAAAAACAACAACAACCAACTGTTTTCTGGTGAAGAAAGGTCCTATCTTATGTTTAAATATTGTTCCATTATAAGATACTTGTACTAAATACCAGCTTTATAAAGACATTGTTTATCCCTAATTATGTTTTAACGTTTTCTTAAGAGGCTTCATTTTATCATATAGAAATATTTTCAATTCTTCTTAAGCAGCCTGAGCAATACCTTATTATAACCCACGTTTTGGATCATATACCATTGGAAAAACTACTTCCTAATTGACAAACATTTCAGGAATTCAAGAATACTAAAGTTGAAACCAGTAACATGGATACATAAATGCATAACATACTGCCCAACTTTGAAGAAAACTACTTTAAAGTTTATATGCTGCACAAAGAAGTCTTTCTTTTTTTTGGTTGAAGAACATTGCAAACTGGGAAGGAAACATATGATAAAAACAAGGATTTTTTTTTTTTTGTTTTTTGTTTTTTGTCGGTCATGGGGGCTGAACTCTGGGCCTGAGCGCTGTCCCTCAGCTCTTCAGCTCAAGGCTAGTGCTCTACCACTTGAGCCACAGCACCAGTTCTGGCTTTTTTTTCCTGCTGATGTGGTGCTGAGGAATCGAACCCAGGGCCTCATGCATTCGAGTCAAGCACTCTACCACTGAGCCAACTTCTCAGCCCCTAAAAACAAGGATTTTTATCTTTAGAGGAATAAGCTAGAAGGGAATATGGTTTAAGACTATAGAATTAATCTCGAACAACCACATCAATAAGAACTAGGCCTCTTCTACCAAAAGCACATTTCTGTCAAGTATGACAAGAATTAAAAAAAAAAAATTATATACTGAATAGTACAACTTCTCTGACCAAAATGTAACTACAATTAGTAAGGATTTAGATGCAAAATGGGTTAGAGGACATCTCTTACCTTTGAGGTACAATAAATCAAGAAAGAAAATCTTGCCCTTCTCTTTTATGCTACAAAAGACACATCTTCAGCCAGAAGTATTCTTTGTTGTTGTTGTTGTTGTTGATTGTGGGGCTTGAACTCTGGGCCTGGGCGCTGTCCCTCAGTTCTTCAGCTCCAGGCAAGCACTCTACCACTTGAGCCACAGCACCACTTCTGGTTTTCTGGTAGCTACTTGGAGATAAAGACTTTCCTGCCTGGGGTTGGCTTTGAACCCTGATCCTCAGATCTTAGCCTCCTGAGTAGCTAGGATTACAGGTGTGAGCCATGGGTGCCTGGCAAGTATTCTTATTTTAGCCAGTTATATTCTTATTTTAGATATATTATAAAGCAAACAATTGAGCAAACAAAAGAAATATTTTTGGAGGTTAAATAACCACAATGACATGTCATTATTAAAAAAAATCTTGAAAAGGATTAATAGTGAAGATGCAGCATTGTGTCTTTACCTTTGTGATAAGAACTCGGTATTTTTCCACTAGGTGGTCATTGTTGTGACAGCCTGCTAGAAGCTGCCAGACTTCTCCTCGAAGAGCTTCTGGGACCCCATTTCTCACTAATGATGGTAACTGCTTGGGTCTTACACTCAAGTTGAGATGCCTAAAAAATAAAGCCAAAACTCACTAGTTCCTAAAATGAAGATTCTCTAAAGAGTTACTTTTATTAAAATTCAACTAAATGACTTACCTGATAAAGCAACATAAAAATAAAGAAAAATGACAAAGGGCTATTGGATTAGATTTGATAAAAAAATAGCTGTAAGAAACTGGCTGGAAGGAAAAATAAACACTCACATGGATGTAAACTACTCCCTAAGTATCTCCAAATTATGTCTTTAAAAAAAAGGAAAAGTAGAAACCACAGGTGATAATTTATGGCTAGAGCTTATATAAAAAAGTGAGAGCAACATTCTAATTAGTGGAACAGAGCTCTACCTCAAAATCAACAAGTGAACTATATATTTATGTAATTTTGGTTACAAAAAAACAATTCAAGTATGTTTTAAGCAGTTTTTCTATATTCCTTCAAGCAACTTCTCTAAGTAACTGTGGTGGTTTAAGAATGTTTCTAATGTACCACTATACTATCAAAACAAGTTAATAAGTTTTGGAGTTTACTTTTTTTTTTTATCTATACAATGAAGAAGATAAAGCCTGTCTAGAAACATTAGCATAAGTCTTCAAAGGGCTTTTAACACGGTATCTCATTTGCTCCTATAACAACCATCTGAGGTAGACTTTTTTTTTTTTTGCAGTCATGGGGCTTGAACTCTGGGTTTGGGCGCTATCCCTCAGCTCTTCAGCTCAAGGCGAGCGCTCTACTGCTTGAGCCACATCACCACTTCTGGTTTTCTAGTGGTTTATTGGAGATAAGAGTTTCACGTGGACTTTCCTGCCCGGGCTGGCTTTGAACCATGATCCTCAGATCTCAGCCTCCCGAGTAGCTAGAATTACAATTGTGAGCCACCGGCAACCGGCTCTGAAGTAGACCTTTTATCTCCAGTTTCACAAATGGAGAAAAACCAGGGAGGTCAGTTTATTCACTGGGGTAGTCATCAGTTTCTTAAGACTAGTGACAACTCAGTACATTCTTTTACATCGAGGACATTAGTTCTCTTATAACTTAGAGAGATAGAGCTCCAAGATATTATTACTAATACTGCTAGTAAATGTAACATGGAATAAGTCAACTTCAACATCAGATTTTCTATGTTAAAATTTTTGGGTCTCCCAGTTTACTCATTGAATAGCTTAAATTATGAGTCAGCTTCTTCATTTGTAAAAGTGGTTACAAATTTATAAGGTTGCTATTGTTGAAAAATGTTGTGTACATAACTTGACAGAGGGCTTAGTATTCAACCAGGACATCCATTATTCTTAGTCTGTAAGAATCCCATATGGTAGTTCCACAGACTTCTATTTTCTTAGTGAAGTAAAGTTAACAATATGATTCCTATCCACAGAACACATAGGATGGAAAAAAATAAAGATGAAATGATTAAAAGAAAATATGATATATCTGAAGTCATGAGTAAATAAACTTAGCTTGAATAACCTGAAAGTGATAGAGACAGATGGGAATTCAGTTAATAAATTTGAGGATATGGGAGGACAGTGGAATTAAATAAATAACAAAGTGATAAGGAAATACATCTCAGGCTGAGATGTAGCTCAGTGGCAAAGCGCTTGCCTAGCAAGTGCAATGTCCTGGGTTCGATCCCCAGTACCAAAAAAGAAAAGACAAAAAAAATACAGTTAAAAAAGAAAATACATCCCAAGTCATCATATACAATGCTGGTAGGCTCATCTAATAAAATCTAATTCTAGAATCCAAATACTATACTAGACAGTTTTAAATATTAGGAAACCACGTAAAAACTAAACTGTATTTCTGTTTTAGAGCAGAAACCTTTTTATGCAGATGAAATTCCTTGCAGCAGAAGTCCAAACACTTCAGACTCACTGAATTGAAGATATAACCGTGACAAAACCATCCACAGTTTTGTCGCCTGATTGTACAGTAATATAAAAAAAAAATCAGAAAACTATTCTAGGTTTTCTTCAGAGTTCATGTATTAAAGCCACTTATGTAAAAACAAGCCATTCTCTTGTCTGCCCTTTTCTCTTGCACATATGATACTTTACAATACATAGAGTGTTTTGCCATAGCATAAAACATTTTAAGAGAGCTACAGCAGAAGACACCCATTTGTACTGTATCACTGAAGGGCATGAATTTTTTTAAATATGCATACTTTATTATCTTTCTGTACAAAGGAGTTGCCATTTAACAAAGCAGTTTATGAATACAATGCATCTTGATCAATGTCACCCTTTCACCATTCTTCCCTGTCTCCCCCAATCCCACCCCTCCCTCAATTTGATAAATTCTGTAAGATATACACTGGATGTTATTACTGTATTTTCTCCCCTTCCTCTCTTCAGGTAAAATTACCTTTTTAATTTAATTTTATTGTCAAAGTGATGTGCCAGAGGGGTTACTGTTGTATATGTAAAATAATGAATACATTTCTTGTCGAACATTGTTACCCCCTCCCTTATTTTTCTCTTTCCCTCCCCTCCCAATTCCACCCCCACAATGATTATTTTTAATGCTAAGACACAGCTTAAAGTTAAAAAACTTCAACAGTTATAATTTATGAGAAAAATGAAACCCCAAAGCCATAAGATGCACAGGGAACTAATGTACTAGCCCTAACAATGGAAACATTAGAAACAGACAGCCTTGAATCGCTTTCAAGTTCAGTTTTCTGTGTTGTATTTTTTTTTCCCATGGCACCCTACCCAAGGAGAAAGGAACTACAAAAATGTCTACCAGAGTATCCCTGGTCTGTTGATCAATACCTGGAGATACCATCTCCTTCAATCTGACTAGGATAATGCTAGCTAACACTTGTCAAGGTATTTTCTTTCTGTTTTTGAGACAGCTTAGGTTGGCCTCCAACTCCCTATTCAGTTCTGGCTAGTCTGGAACTTTCTCCAGCCTCCTGAATGCTTGGATTATGGGCCACTGCTGTGGTTATGGGCATATGCCACAATGCACAGCAAGAATCAGTAATATTTTGTCTTGTTTCTGTGCTGGGGAATGAACCCAAGGCCTCAAGCAAGATAGGCAAGCATCTATCACTGAACTACTTGCCATCACAAGCTATTAAGAAATTCCTGAGTTTTAAACATGTTAAGGCAAGTTTTAAACATGGAAAGGCAATTGACAGAGTAGGTAATATATATTATATTAGTGACACTATGCTTCATGCCAGGAACTTATCACAGATGAGGAAAAGTCATACTGAGTATTATCTTAAATAGTGAGTCACTCCTTCAGTCTGTAACATAAAGGACTTTCTTTTTTTTAATGCTGTTCCCAAGTTCCATGTTTGGTTTAATGTTTTCTTCAGTAATGAAGATTTATTGTCTCTGATATTCTAAGAACTGATTAAATTTCTACACTATCATCCTCACAAATCCCAAAAATACAAGGTCTAGTGTGCGTACATTTAAATTGGTTCCAAACTGAGTATTATAATTAGGAAACATTCCATATTCATAAAATGAGATCTAGAGACAAAAAGGAGAACTATTAGAACTTACCATTTTGATAGTAATTCACCCCATGTTTCAAGAATTTTTTCTGCACATTCTTTGGATACATCACCAAATCCACTCAAGAGAGGCTCATCATTATCTTTAGTAAAAAACAAAAAAGCATCACAAAAATGGCTATGCTAGCCAAAATGTACTATACTATGAAAATAGTCATAATTTCTTTTTTAATGTTTGTGTATAAATACAGTAAAATAAAACTGGCCCTAAGTGGAAAGTTTTTGTAACTTCTTTATTTATCTTTTCTTTCCACATATGTCTTTATTTTGTCAATTATAGAAAAGTGATTTTCTGGGTGCCAGTGCCTTACTCCCGTAAATCCTAGCTACTCAGGAAGCTGAGATCTAAAGAGGTTTGAAGCCAGCCTGGGCAGAAAAGTCCCCATGAGACACCTATCTTCAATAAACTACAAACAACAAAACAAACAAAAACAAAAGAGAAGTGATGCTGTGGCTCAAGTGGTAGAGCGCTAGCCTTGGGCTCAGGGACAGCACCCAGGCCCTAAGTTGGAGCCCCAGGATTTGCAAAAAAAGAAAAGAGCCACTTATAAAGTTACAAGACACACAAATATGGTACATTCCTTTACCTTTTCCAAAGTAAACAGCTTTATATATAGCATATATAACAGTCTTATTTACAACAGCAAAAATATCAGCTCCTAATTCTTCTATAAAGGCACAGTAAAGAATGGTGAAATAAAATGATATAAGGCAAATGCTAACATTTATGTTACAAAAGGCTATGGGGGAAAAAAACACATAAACACATATGGAGTTAAATCTTCAGTGTGATCTATGTTGAAAAATAGAAAACAAGATGGTGTCCGGAGATTGTAATCTTAACTACTCAGGAGGCATATATCTGAGGATTGCAATTCAATCAATTGCAGGTAAAAAAAACTCTGTGAGATCTGTCTGTCTGTCTGTCTCTCTCTCTCTGTCTTTGTTTTTGGTCCAAGATCAGGGCTCAAACTCAGTATCTGATGCTTTTGCTCATTGGTAGGCACTCTACCATTTTAGCCATGCTTCTAACCCCTTTTATCTCTAATTAACTGCCAAAGAGCTGAAAGAGGAGTTGTGAGTCAGGTGACAGAGTGCTAGCCTTCAAGTCATAAATCATTTCTGCCTCTGATTGATGGTAGTATGATCGATACTTTACTCTTTTATATCTTTATGAATTTCTAAATGTTCTATAAAATGGCATACATATATTTAAAATACAAAGGGCAAAAAGTATTTATATATATATAAATAAATTTATATAAATATATATATATATATAAAGATATATATATATATGTGTATATATATATATATATATATTTTGTTTTTGTTTTTGTTTTTGGTCCAGTCGTGGGGCCTGAACTCGGCCTGGGCACTGTCCCTCAGCTCTTCAGCTCAAGGCTAGCGTTCTACCACTTGAGCCACAGCGCCACTTCTGGCTTTTTTTTTTCTTTTTGCTTATGTGGTGCTGAGGAATCGAACCCAGGGCCTCAGGCATGCAAGGCAAGCGCTCTACCACTGAGCCACCTTCCCAGCCCAGCAAAAAGTATTTAAAAGGACCAAGCAAAATATTTAAACTTTAAATAACTAAGACTTTAGAGATAGTAAGATATGAAGATAGTGAAACAGCAATCCTGAGGTGTAACTCTCAATTGTCAGCAGGTCAAACTGTCCTATAAAATCAATCAGTTGAGATGGAAATACTCAGTTATATAGAGGCTGTGACAAAAAAAAAGTGCTAATACACTTAGCTAGCAATGAGTTTTTAAAAAGTACTAATTATAAAATCTAATTTCTCCAATTTGATCGTAATTAAAAAAATCTAATGTTAATTATTTTCTAACCTCTCACAAATTTTCTACACAGTAGCCTCTCAAATACCCACTTTGAATAAAGTCTACCTGTCACTTTATACTATCAATCAGGTGAATGATAAAACCTTAAAAGATTGCATGGTCCTCTAAGTACATGTAAATTAAGTTCTCCCTGCAATTTACCTTCCTCTTCATCATCTTCAGGAGGAGAAGGGATCATTGAACTCTGAGATCCAGACTGTGGCAGGCGAACAGAAGGAGTGGCAGTAGTTTTCCTTCTCTCTCTTTCTGATTCACTTTCCAAGCACACAACTTCATAAAAAGTGTCAGCATTATTCTTTCTCTCCTTCTGCTTTATCTTGAGGGTAGAAAAATATTATTACAATGCAGTAAAATCTTTTATATTAAATATTCTGATTTTGTATAGAATATGAGAATAGCATTTCTTTCAATATTTACACTAAACATAACCTTTTTTTTTGCCGGTCCTGGGGCTTGAACTCTGGGCTTGGGCGCTGTCCCTGAGCTCTTCAGCTCAAGGCGAGCGCTCTACTGCTTGAGCTACAGTGCCACTTCTGGTTTTCAAGAGGTTTATTGGAAAGAGTCTCATGGACTTTCCTGCCCGGGCTGGCTTTGAACCGGGCTGGCACCTGGGCTTAAACATAACCTTTTCTAAGTAGAAAAGTACACGTTTGTATTTATAACCCTTAGGATAATAGAGTATTTACTGAGCTCAACTCCATTACTGCAATTTTACCAATCATCAAAGAATATCATCAAATATAAAAGCACCAACAGTTAATATAAACTAAAAAGATAATTGTTCCTGTACCTTTCAAGTTATCCTTTAAGGTATCCTTTCAGGCTTACTATATAAAATTACAGATCAAAAAGTTTTAATCTAGCCAGGCGCCAGTGGCTCACACCTGTAATTCTAGCTACTCAGGAGGCTGACATCTGAGGGTCGAGGTTCAAAGCCAGCCCAGGCAGGAAAGTCTGTGAGACTCTTTATCTCCAATAAACCACTAGAAAACCAGAAGTGGCCCTGTAGCTCAAGTGGTAGAGCACTAGCCTTAAGCTGAAGAGTTGAGGGACAGTGCTCAGGCCCAGAGTTCAAGTCCCACAACCGCCAAAAAAAAAAAAAATTTAAATGTAAAACATTAAGTTTAGAATTAGATTAACAAAATCTTCCTTCATGATTTTCCCCCTACTGCTTAATTAAAACAGTGCATGGAACTTTTTCTTAATTGAAAGCAACAGCTTAGGGTGGGAGTGGTCAGTGGGTGGAAATGAATGGAAGAGAAAACATTTTTTTCAGGCAAATATGTAACAGTTTACACTGACCTAAATTAGCAATAACAGTATAAAAATTTGCCTTAAATACATTAAGTATTTAAGTACATTAAGTTCCTATTATGGCTACATTATGTGGGAGGAGGAAAAAAACATTAAGTGAATTATAATTATAGAGCATGAGAAAAAGGGAAAACTACCAGAAAATGTACACAGAAAAACCTGAAAAATAACCAGCCACACCACATGAACATACACAGTAAAGTAAAAACACACAAAGAGAGGGTAGAGGATAAAGGGTTCACAGAAATGTCAGAGTGCATTTTATCATCCCAATTTCCATTTGAGTTCTTTAAAATTTATCCCAGATCTACAGTAAAGCCAACATAGTGACAACATGTTCTTTTAACATAATTATAAAACACTTCATACAAGAACCAGAAAGTTTCTCTTAAAATCAAAATAGTAAGTTATTCTAGGGTAAATGAGCTAATAGTCTCTGTCACCATTATGGACTTCTGCCATTAGAAAGGCAAAAGCAGCCACAGACAATAAGTAAATTGAATGTGATTGTGACCCAATAAAATCTTATTTACAGAAACAGTTGTCAGGCCAGATGTGACACTCAGGCTACAGTTTGCCGTTTGGCTTTAACACATCTAACCAAAGATTACTTGATTTTGACAATATACTGTTTCTTTACTTAGCTACTTACTATTAATAAAGGATTCAGATTCTGTGAAGTTACATATTAAACTCTAGGCTTGTGTCCATGAGATATGAACATTATTTCTGTCCAACAGAAAAGATAACCCAAAGATTACCTATGAGACATTAACCTAGAAATCTTCTAAAACTTTTTTTTCTAAGCATAGACCTTATAAACTCAAGGTCTCAAATCCTTAGAACCCATTTTACCATCTTTCTAGATCCCAAAGAAACAAAGTGACTTAAATTCTTTAGCATATATTTATCCCAAATTTATAATAATAATTTTAGCTTTTAAAAGCTATTCTTTGGTAGGAAACAGGATTTAAAATTTTTGTTGCATTACAAATTGCATTTGAAAGTATCACTTAAATGCTATCTGAAACAGGGGGCAGGGAAGGTTGCTCAGTGGTAGAGTGCTTGCCTTCCATGCCTGAGGCCCTGGGTTTGATTCCTCAGCACCACATAAGCAGCAAAAGCCGGAAGTGGTGCTGTGGCTCAAGTGGTAGAGTACTCGCCTTGAGCTGAAGAGCTGAGGGACAGTGCCCAGTCCCAGAGCTCAGGCCCCATGATCAATAACAACAAAAAAAGGAAATTACTCTAAAAAAAGGCACTTTCAGAAACCAAAAAGACCCACAAGGTTTCATCTTGCGACATTACTTGGAAGAAAAAAACAATGGTTAAAAAAAAAAATCCATGCCATGTGTCCATCAGTAGAGGACTGATTGATTCATTCCAAACAATTCAGAACTGTGTAGCTCTTAAATAGAATGTAGAATCTTCTATTTACCTATGTAGACTGTTTCAGATCTATTGCTTTCTAAATTAGCCAAATAAAATATAAATACAATAAATAATGAATTCCTCTAATGGTTTCTTTGGTAAGAAAAGTTCCATAATATTTTACTTCTAAGAATATTTGCTTTTCTTGGTTACTTTGTACCATTTTTAGGAAACTTAAGTCTTTAGTTCATTTTCTTCCATTTCCAGTAAATGGCTAATCCAAGAAAGTCTTTGTCTCCCTAATTTAAAGTTTTCCTTCTCTAATATGATGCCATCTTAATTTAACAAGCCCACAGATGGGCAGGCTTCCAGGCTAAAAGGAGTTACTGAGTCACCAGATAATTTTAACAAAAGGAGAAAGAATCAATTTTTAAACACATTAAAATTCTATAACTGCTTCTCCAAACTGATGGTAAAGAAAAGTTACATGTTGTGCATTTTAAAATTTTGCTTGGTAGCAACTCTTTTCTTTTTGGTTTGAGGAGAACTGAAAAGGGTTAACATTTTAAATTACTGCCTTAAGAAAACTTGTAAAAATCTTCTTTCAGAAATAAAAAAGTGTTATGTTTATATGAAGTAACCCTGGATGAAACTGTATGTTTCTTGTTCATAAATATACTACAAAATAGACAAGATAAATAATACAAGAGTATTATTTATGCTCATTGGATTGCTGCCAAAGTAACCTGAGATAGGGAATTAAGTAGCTAGTAGTTATAACCACAAGGGGACCTCAATTAGTAATAAAGTTATTTATTTATTTTTTTCGTCGGTCGTGGGGCTTGAACTCTGGGCTTGGGTGCTATCCCTGCGCTCTTCAGCTCAAGGCTCAAGGCGAGTGCTCTACTGCTTGAGCTACAGTGCCACTTCCAGTTTTCTGGTGGTTAGCTAGAGATAAAAGCCTAATGGACTTTCCTGCCTGGGCTGGCTTTGAACTATGATCCTCAGATCTCAGCCTCCTGAGTAGTTAGGATTACAGGTGTGAGCCACCAGTGCCCGGCTGATCTAGAGACTGTGAAGAATATCTCCCTTTTACTCTCTGAACTTGCAGTGATGCTTTTAAATTGGTTTAATTTCTAAAGTCAGTTTCCCTCAATACTGATCCTCTACCCAAACAATGGATAGCAGTGGGTGTGCTGGTGCACATCTGTAATCCCCAGTAATCAATAAGCTGAGTGAGGAGAATCATGGGTTCCAGGCCAATCTAGACTACATAACAATACCTTGTCTCTAAGTAAGTAAGCAAATAAATAAATGTCAGCATTGTGTTGATTTTATGACTTAAGTTTTTTTAAATCCTTCTTGAATCCCACTGAGGTTTCATAGTCTCTCTCTCAATTATAAAAACTAAAATGTATGGAGAACTTATTGATGTCCTGGAAAATATTCCAACTGTGATGAATGCTTTCTTGTTTTATGTCACAATAACAAGGAAGAGTTCTATTACTGCTGCCAATTTGTAGTTCGATAAACCAAGACACAGAGAGTTCAAAGAAGTTGCTCAAAACCATAAATCCGGTCAGTGGTAAGATTTATGTACCTGCCTCTAATCCAGTGTTATAAGGAAGGGGAACCTTTTTACTACTAACGGCCATTTGATACTTATAAAACCATTATGGGGCATACAAAATTATCAGTAAGGCAGATGGCCAGGGGCAGCCACGGAGAGGCAGACAAGAAGTGTATGTGTTTGTCCTATCATGTACCAGATGATTTCACAGCATTCGTGACCTGTGGGCTGGGTGTCCCCCACCACGGAGTAAAGACCATATGCTAATCCTCTGCTCCTTAACAGTCAGGTTTATTGTCTGTTTCTAACACATCACTAAAAAAAAACTTGTGTGACTTCTCTGCCTATTTTTTAAGTATGCTAAATAGAGCCAATCTGGAATCAGCATTTTTACTATTGTGGAAAAGGATATTCAAATCCACATTCAACACTAATTTTAGATAATGAAAAATCAAAGGTGCATGTAAATAAAACTGAATTCAAAAAATCCTTATTGAGAACTACTATGATATTCTAATGCTTGAAACAAAATCAGTGGGGAGAAAAAAAGATGAGAAGGTAGTTTTCATAAGACTGTAACATATCACATGAGTTTAAACACTAGTACCATCAAAAATAAAAAAGACCAGAACTGACTCAAGACTGTCTACAATGTACTGCTTAAAGTGTTTATAAACTATAATCTGAAATTATAAGCCAGACATAAGCATAGGAAAAAATTACTCATCAGCGGTCAAGCATTTCTGAAATAACTATATTGTAAATGCTCCAAGGTGCAAAAGAAAGTCCCATAAAAGAACAAAATAGTAAATTGCAGGAGAAAATAAACTCATAAATAAGGGTAAGAAAGAAGAAGAAAGAACTGCCTGAACACTCTGGAAACAAAAATATATATATAAGGTATAAAACCTAAAAAAATGAAAACTCATTCAATGGACATATAGAAATGACAAAACAGACAAGTTAACAATAAGTTTGTCATATGGAAAAGCAGATTAGAAAGAAAAACCTCAAAATTTATTCTCAAGATATTGAGAATATGTATAATTAGCTTCTAAAGGTAGCCATGCCACTATAAGAGGTTGTACTACCTTTGTGATCACAGTACTCAGAAGATTGAAGCTGAAGAATCCTAAGTTACAGGCTAGCCTGGCTATATAACAAGAGCCTGACTAAAAGAAAAAAGCAAACAAAAGAAGAAAAGAAGCAATAAAAGAAGAAAATAAATGGTCAGGAAAAATATTGAAGACTAAACAGGCCAAAATTTCCCCAAATTTGGTTAATATTTTTTTAGAAATTTAAGAAGGCTAGCAAATCCCAAGAAGGTTAGACAAAAAGAGAATAACACCTAAGTACAATAGTTAAATGCCTAAAAATCAATGATACTGCAGTAATATTAAAAGCAGCCCAGAAAAATAACATATTACATATTACTCTTCACAAAAAACTATGGAGGTCAGAAATCTATGGGATAACTTGTGTAAAATGCAAAAAAAAAAAAAAAAAGCTGGGTATGGTGGCTCAAGCCCATCATGCTAGCTACTCAGGAGAGGCTGAGACCTGAGGATTGCAGTTCAAAGCTAGCCTGGGCAGGAAAGTCCATGAGACTCTTATCTCCAATAAACCACTCAGAAAACCAGAAGTGGTGCAGTGGCTCAAGTGATAGAGTGCTATATCCTTGAGCTGAAGAGCTGAGGGATAGTGCCTAAGCCCAGAGTTCAAGCCCCACGACTGACCTAAAACAAAAAAACAAAAACAAAAACAAAAAAAACTAAGAGAATATGTCATTGGCATATTTGCATTAATAAATGCTAAAATGTGCTCATGCTAAGGATAAATGAGCAAATAGAAACTTGGCTTTTTAAGAAAAAGTCAAGAATATTAAAATTATACATAGATGGATAGATCTAAAAATGACATTTTTTCCTTTTAATATATCTAAAATACATATGACTACTTAAAGATCTGATGTTCTAAGGTTAAATCAGCCTCTTACGTAAGTTTTCCTTATTTTCCCTTTTGAATTTATAAAAAATAAAAATCAATACCTGCTTTAGTTTCAAAAAGAAATTTTCAGTAGTACTACGTTTGCTGAAAGGCCAGAATAATCTTTCATTAGGTGAGCAAACTCGAACTTTTGTCTCTAGGAGAAAGCGAACAGGCTCCTGTACTTCTGTTATTACCAAATCAACAGCTGTGGTCATGAAGAGTACTTTATCTAGGAGATAGAGAAAAGATGAGAATAACAAACAAACAAACAAACAAAAAACAGATGGAAATACATTTGCTCATACAATTACTAGAACAATAATTACTTTTATTACAACCTTTCAAGATTATCTTAAGGTCAACCATAATTTTAAATTATTAGGTAAATTGTTGCTTTGAAAAACATTGGGGGGGGGATAAACAAAGGAGGAGGCAACAATGCTTGATAAGAAATGTAGTCATTACCTTAACCATGTAATTGTAACCCCTCTGTATGGTATTTTCACAATTAAAAAAAAAGAAAAACATTGAAAATTTGATTTTTGGAGCACTAAAACTAGAAAGTGACACCAATGCATGTTTTAAAGCCATAGAAATGTTTTGTTCCACATATATGTGTCTTCTTTGTGCTACCCTCAACAATACTGGAAATTCTCAACTTTTAAACTTAGCTAATAATTTTACAGATCTTCTACTTCAGAACTGCTAGTTTATGTCCTTTATCCATTTATATATTGCCATGAATTCTAGGAAAAATAAATGTGCAATAAGAGGGCCTCATTAAGCAAATAACTCTACATTTTTAAGCTATGACATTAAGATACTATTAAAGGTCACTTAGGAAAAACATGAGATAACTTAAAAAAAAATTTTCTTTATGAAGCACTAGGGAAACGAAGGTAGGAGGATCATGAGACAGAGGCATTTGGGGCTATTTAACAAGACCTTGTCTCAAAAACTAGAAGTTGTTTTGCACAGAATACCTGAAATTATACAAGGAAACTGCTAATGGTGATTCTCTTTGAAAAGGGGCACCACGGACTGTAACACACTCACTTTTCTATGTATGTCCTTTGAATATTTAACCATACGTGCATGGATTATCTCTCTACAAAAACAAAATTTAGAAGTCTGTAAATACATAAGTACATAAAAACAAAAGGGAAAATGAAGAGAAGAGAAAACAAATAAGCAAAAATACTTTTTTTACAGGTAAATTTAACAAGAAACTCTATTCAAGTCATTTGTTTCACCAGAATTAGGCAAATACTAGAAACTGGTCAAGCAAGTAACCTTTAGGTTTGTGTATGTTCTACTTTTTTTTCGGTTAAACAAGAGCTCTACTACTTGAGCTTTTTAGTTTGTTTCAGATAGGGTCTCATATGCTTTTCCCAGTCTGGCCTAAGACCACAATCCTCTGATCAGTGTTTTTTCATAACTGGATTATAGGCATAAACCACCATCAACCCCACCCAAGTCTGGGTATCTTTATTTTTTTCTTTGTGAAGGTACCAGGGCTTATAAATTAGGGTCTTTGACTCTTAGCTTTCTTGCTCAAGCCTGACGGTCTACCATTTGAGCTATGCCACCAGTCTAGCTGTTTTTTGGGGGGTTGTTTTTTGCTGGTTAATTGGAGATAGATCTTCCACAGGATGGCAGTCAGTCTCCTGATTAACTAGGATTATAGCAGTGAGCCACAGGTGCCTGGACTGGGTAGCTTCTTGAGAGTAAAATATTCATAAAAGCAATTTGCATCACCTTTTGGAGTTTCTTCATTTACAACTTGAAAATGTGGGGATTTTGGATTCCAGCTTCCAGTAATAACATAAGACTTGCCATCTGAACTTTTGCCCATAGACTCCTAAAGAAAAGAGTAAAAATAAACCTTTATGCTAAAGTAAGTGAATAATAGCTAATTGACATTTTGCTGCTTTTAATAAACAGGAGTTGAAAAAATATGTATGTAAGATTATCCATTTTTTAAAGTTTACTGTGTATTTTAACATAAAATTAAGAAATTTTCTAAAAGATGTACTAAAAACTCTAAGTTTATGATTTAAAGCAGAAATATATCTCAGTCACCTAAAACAACAGCTTGTGGTCTCCAACAGCATACAGCATGAGAGTTCTGTGCCAAGAAAGGCCAGATCCAGCAGCTACTGACCAAGGAGAATGGGGAAGGAAGGGAATGCTAAACAGTGAATTTGAAAGTCACTTGCTATTTTCCAAAACCAGTGGTTGCAAACATGTTTTCACAAACTGCATATTGTCTGAATACACGGGCACTAGAGCATAACTAAACCAAGTGATATTCCAAGTTAAACAATTCCCGCAATAGCTGTAACTTTGAAGGTATTTCTTTAAGCAGCAGCATGCTGACATAAATGGCATCTGTTCTGATTCAAGAGACAAAATAGCCTAGCAGGTTAAAAGCAGTCATGTAACATATAACAGTCATATAACTGTTGTGTTCTTTTCTATAACCACTGGCTCATAAGTTTCCTCAAGATGCTAGAACACATTTGACCCATGGGAATGAACAACAGAATGAGCTGTTTGCCTTCCAAGGCCTAAATCCTGTTGCAGATATTATCATTACTCACTCATACTTGAAATTTCTTGTCCTTGTTTGGGATGCAACTCCCAACCATTAATGAAATCTGAATGGTCTTCTTAAACCTACTATTCATTTTACTTTGAACATCTACAGTTAATAATGTAATTTTCATGTCAGCAGATGAAAACAAAATTTGATTACTGGAGGCAAAAGGAGTCTAGTCTCTGGGCTCCAAACTATGCCACTGACTCTGACTCCATGGTGACATATCTGTAGTGTTTTATCTGAAACTTCTTCAATGACTACTGCTTCCTCCTAAAATGTGCATGTGCCAAGAATCACATAATTATTGCCACCAATTAGATTTCCTGAATCCTACCCTCAAAGGGAGCAAATTCTATTCCAGGTGCAGTAAATTCTGCCCTACCTTTTAATGTAGGTAGTATTACTTCTGGCAGTTTTGCCACATATCAAAATTTGAGAAGTTATACAAATAAAGTGGCTTCTAGTGGCCATGGAGAAGGTGGATGCAACGTGAGTGAAGCTGGTTACCAGATCAATTGTAAGTTTTCTGTTTTTTTTTTTTTTTTTTTGCTGTTGTTGTTGTTTTTTGTCAGTTCTGGGGCTTGAACTCAGGGCCTGGGCACTGTCCCTGAGCTTCTTTTGCTCAAGGCCAGCACTCTACCACTTGAGCCACAGCACCACTTTCAGCCTTATCTGTTTATGTGGTACTGAGGAATCGAACCCACATGCATGTCATGCACTCTACCACTAAGCCACATTCCCAGCCCGTAAGTTTTGTTTTATTTTTTAAAGTAGTAGTACATATGATTGATGACTGTTATGATTAAAAATGTGTCGATTTTTAGTACAACTGTTCCTCAAACGGTTTCTGTAAATATCTGTATATCACATCAAGTTGAAGAAACATTAGGGAAATGTAGTACCTGAAACCTATGCTCAGTTCTTTTTTTTTTGGGTCCGGTCGTGGGGCCTGAACTCTGGGACTGGGCGCTGTCCCTCAGCTCTTCAGCTCAAGGCTAGCACTCTACCGCTTGAGCCACAGGGCCATTTCCGGCTTTTTTTCTTGCTTATGTGGTGCTGAGAAATCCAACCCAGGGCCTCAGGCATGCAAAGCAAGCACTCTACCACTGAGCCACCTTCCCAGCCCCTAAGCTCAGTTCTATTAATAAGACAATATAGTTTTTAGTTCTGAAAAGGAAGATGTTCGTATCATAGCAAAACTTTGAATACTTATGATTTATATGATTTTTGTTTTGTAGGTTTTTGTTTGTTTGGAGGGGACTGGTTTTTCACACAGAATTTTGATATGTCATTCAGGCTGACTTCGAAATCATGATACTCTTACCTCAGTGTACCAGTTTGGGATTACAGGTTTGTACCACTACACTTGGCTCCTCTTACAACTTGTGAAGTATATGACTGTTTGCAAAGAATTCTCTGGCAAATTTTCTCCTCTTATTCCCACTCATCAATCTAGCCTAGTAAACAATGCTATCAAGATCACATAGTTAAGAAACTAAGGCTGAGATAGTCAACCAAGATCAGACTTATAAATGACACATCAGGAAAAACAATACTGTGTAGTGTTTTATAGCTTATGAAAATGCCTTCATAAACGTTAGATTCTGATGATATAAAGTAAAACAACCTAAAGAAAAAGTATATAATCTTTCAGCAAAAAGAAAATCTAACTTACCAAATCTAATAAATGCATGTCACTATTTCGTACATCTTTTCCTGGGCTTAGGAGGAGACCAAAGCATCTATAGAGACAGAAATCACACAAATTTGAAGAAAAAGAAATAAACCTCCTATACCCCCCCAAAAATTGAAATTTGATCACTTAAATAAAAACTTCTTATAGACAGAAAAAAGGACAGTTATTAGAATTAGCTATAAAATAGTGTTGTTAAACGTAAACTAATACTACTCTGGAAAGCAGTCTGGAGGTTCCTCAGAAAACTAAACATAGACCTTCCCTATGACCCAGCCATACCACTCCTAGGCATCTACCCATAGAACAGAAAACAGGATACAAGGACATATGCGCCTCCATGTTCATTGCTACTCTATTCACAATAACCAAGATATGAAGACAACCCAGATGTCCCACCACAGATGAATGGATCCAAAAACTATGGTACCTATATACAATGGAATTTTACATGGCCATTAGAAAGAACAAAATAATGGCATTTACAGGGAAATGGATGGAAGTAGAACAAATCATGTTGATCGAGATAAGCCAAGATCAGACAGACATATAGTGTATATTCTCCCAGCTATGTGGATGTTAGATTCAAAATGCAATGAGATATGACAAAGTAAACAGGACCCAAGAAACAAAGGACCTCTTCTTACTTTGTCATATAGCTTCTAGATGACTCCAAGTTCTTGACCTCATATATGGTGTATATATGTGCACATGTGAGGGAATCTATGATAGGGAGACAGAACTAGAGGAAAACGGGTGAAAAAATACAGCAGAGAGGCCCATCAGCTGCAGTGGACATTGATGAAAGTGAACTAAGCAACTCAAGGGCAGAGATGGGAGAGAGGGAATGAGAGAGAAAGAGGAAACAGCTAACACTAAGCAAAAGCAAAGAAATATACAAATCAGGGGCTGGGAAGGTGGCTCAGTGGTAGAGCGCTTGCATGCTTGAGGCCCTGGGTTCGATTCCTCAGCACCATATAAGAAAAAAGAAAAAAGCCAGAAGTGGCACTGTGGCTCAAGTGGTAGAGCGCTAGCCTTGAGCTGAAGAGCTGAGGGACAGCGCCCAGGCCCAGAGTTCAGGCCCCATGACCGGATCCCCCCAAAAAAAAGAAAGACACAAATCGCCCAATATGGAAAAATAGTTTTATTGTTAAAATCTGTATATTTCGTAAGATTTGTAGATCAAGATAATGACAATTAGTATTGTGAAGGTTAAAATGTGTTGGTGAGTGTAGGTAGTATCATTATGCCACAATACTGTGAAATTTTTGTAATTACTTAATCTTAATCTTAATAAAGAAAAAAGTTGTAATCTTTACTTCTTTAACTGTTTTCTATTACCACATACCTGATATTAACATAATAGCTGAGGATTTATGGGAGTTATTTCTTTAAAACTTTTTTCTATTGATATTATAAGGGTGATATACAGAGGAGTTAGAGTGACATAAGTCATGTAACGAGTACATTTCTTTTTGGATAATATCATACTTTCCCTTGCCTCTCCCAGTTTCCCCTCATGTTCCTATCTACAAGTTATAAAGTTCATTTCAACATAGTGTCTAGTGAGTACCACAGCTGCATTTGTTCACCCTTTGTCCTTCCATTTCTGTGCCCCTCCCATGTCCTCCCAAAAACAGATAAATGAACAAACAAGACAAGAAGAAAACAAGAACAACAACAAAGAGAAAAACTCCTGTTTCCATTTCCTGATATGGGAGTTAATTTCAAAGTAATAGAGCATTCAACTACAATAAGCAAAAGAATCCCCTAGATGTCAAAAGACTATAAATATATTTTGAAATACAGGATAGCTAAAATGATAATCAACAAAATTTATATTCAAGCTAAACTTACTAAATATGCTTACCTTTCAATGGCGAGTTCTTTATTAGTTGTTTGTTGCACATAGATGACAATCTTCTTATCAATTCCTTGGCGTAGTTTGAAGCATTGTCTGTCCTTATCTTTGGGAACAGCACTATAGACAAACATGTTTGATTAAATTTATAAGGCAATTTTTCTTTCACTTCTGATTCTATGCCTAATTTTCAAATATTACCAAAAAAGAAAAAAAGGATCATCATTTTTATATCATCCTGATATAAATCATCATCACTTTAGGCAATATACTAAAGTATTTATAATCGCTAGAGGAAAAAGGGCAAAAAATAAAATAAACTAAAATAAACCCCACTCAGGTTTCCCAAAATATTGCTTTAGTTTTTTTGTTTTGTTGCTATAAAAATCAAATAAGTACTTAGCATGAAATCTGGTATATATAATTTTTCTTAAAGTTAACTTTTTAAATATTTGGTCCCTGCCGGGCGCTGGTGATTCACGCCTGTAATCCTGGCTACTCAGTGGGCTGAGATGTGAGGATCATAGTTCAAAGCCAGCCTGGACAGGAAAGTCCTTGAGACTCTTATCTCCAATTAACTACCAGAAAACTGGAAATGGCACTCTGGCTCAAGTGGTAGAGCACTTGCCTTGAGCTGAAGAGCTGAGGGACAGTGCCTAGGCCCAGAGTTCAAGGCACACGACCGAAAAAAGAAGCCGAAATATAGATATATATAAAAAAAAAAAAATATATATATATATATATAAAAATTTTTAAAAATATTTCGTCCCTAAGTGTTTCTTTTCCCTCCCTCCCTCTCTCCTTCCCTCCCTAAATTTTTCTTTTCTCTCCCACCCTTCTTTCCTTCTTCCCTCCCTCCCCCTTTGTCCTCCCCCCCCCTCCCACTCTTTCTTGTCCTGGGGCTTAAACTCAGAGTCTGGGCACTATTCCTGAGATTCTTTTTGCTCAAGGCTAGCACTCTACCACTTGAGCCACAGTATCACTTCCTGCTTTTTCTGAGTAGCTTATTGGAGTTAAGAATCTTGAACTTTCCTGTCTGGCTGGCTTCAAACCTCAATCCTCATATCTCAGTCTCCAGAGTAGTTAAGATTATGGGGCTTGACTAGTCACTAAATTTTGTAAATCATTAGTGTCTTATTTGTTTAAATGCATAATGAAGAAAAAGATACTTAATCATAAATACTTTGAATTTCAAAACAAGTTATCTCTAAAATATAACAGAGATAAAGGAGTTATAGCCAATGATAATCTGTTGTCTAACAATAAAAAGGGCTGGCTTTAAGCTATGGTATATTTATTATATTAATACTAATTATCATCCATTGTAAAATAACACTGGTAAGTTAGTAGTCATTAGCTTTATAAAAAATACTCTTAAAAGGCCAGTTTATCAAAATAATGCCTTCATTTCTCACACCATCTAGTCCCTTCATTCTCAAACACAATACAAACAGTTGCTTGTAGCATTTATTCAATTTACAGTACATCTAAATTGTATCTACTTCTAGACAAATTTTACATAATAGCAGTAGAACCAGAGATATATGAAATAAACAGCTAGACGAGGAAGTGGCGCTGTGGCTCAAAGTGGTACAGCACTAGCCTTGAGCAGAAAAGCTGAGAGACAGTGCCCAGGACAAGTTCAAGCCCCATGACTGACAAAAAAAGCAAAGAAAAAAAAAAAGAAGGAATTTGCTGGGGCACCAGTGGCTCAAGCCTGTAATCCTAGCTACTCAGGAGGCTGAGATCTAAGGATTGTAGTTCCAAGCCAGCCTGGGCTAGAAAGTCTGTGAGAGTCTGATCTCCAATTAACCACCAGAAAATCAGAAGTAGTGCTGTGGCTCAAAGTGGTAGAGCTTGTAGGGGGGGAGGGTCTCTCAGACTGCTAGGGTCCCAGACTGTGTGAGAAAAACTAAGCTGAGAAATTGACGCTTTACTAAAAACAAACAGAGGCTATAAAGGGAGACCTTAAAACGTATTTCACACGGACTTCAGCCCTGTCTCATACCCTGCCTAATTAGAATGGCGCCTGCCTTGCCATGTTGTGTATCCTCCTATAGCTATCTTTGTAATAAATCTCTTGTAGCTGTCTTTGTAACAACCCCAGCTTCAAGGATGCACGGACATATGACATTATGTTTCTGAAATGTACAGCTCCCATGAGTAAGAATATCCATCTGCTTTATGTGGAGACCCCAAATTCATGAACCAATTCAAACCAGAATGATAGGTTAGTTCAAACAGTTACTATGAGACGGACTATAACCCCATTGGCCACTGACATAAATATGCAATCTTTATTAGTGTGTTACAATCCTGCTGGCCACTTGCATGTGGCCAGGCTTGACCACATGGATTTTGCCTTTTAAAACCCTAGCTTGTGGGCCATTTGGGGTAGCAGTTTCAGCTCCAGAGTCTGTGCTGCATTCCTGGCTGGTCAGCTATCCACTTCCCCAATAAACCCATCATTTTACATGAGACTGTCTCTGAGTGATGGACTCTTTTCCCCATAACAAGCTTAGGGACAGTGCTCAGGCCCTGAATTCAACCCCACGACCAACAAAAAATAAAATAAAAATAAGTGGCTAGATGAGAGCTCTAAGTACGTACTCCAGCTAAAAGTAACTGAAAACTAGTTTAAAACCCATCTGTATTTACATACTAACCAAGTTCAAGAATATTATATAACATTTAGATTGGAAAATGTCAAAGAACCTTAACAAAGATGTCTAGAAATAACAAACATGTTCAAAGACAATTTTGGCATGCCAAATTTAGTATTTGTGGTTGACAGAAATTCAACTTATAAGATAGAGAAACCCAATTTTCTTTCTTCCTTTTCTTTTTTGTTTTTGTAAGTCGTGGGGCCTGAACTCTGGGTCTGGGCACTGTCCCTCAGCTCTTCAGCTCAAGGCTAGCAACTCTATCACTGAGCCACAGTGCCATTTTCGGCTTTTTCTGCTTATGTGGTGCTGAAGAATTGAACCCAGGGCCTCATGCATGCAAGGCAAGCACTCTACCACTGAGCTACCTTCCCAGCCCTGACAAACCCAATTTTCAAGTGTCAGTAGATACCCTAGTCTCTATGTTCTGTGGATGCTGAAGTATATGTCAATACTAAGCTCCTGGTGGTAAAATCTGACAAGAAATGTTTTTCAATTATTTCATCACTAGAAGGAGTTAACACAGTAGTACTTACAGTAAACCCCCATTAAAAAAAGAAAGAGAAAACAATATCCTAAAAAAAAATGTGACAAGCAAATGTGATCATCCAAGGCTCTAATAGTACTTATGGCAATAAATAGAGATGTGTATACTTGAATATGTCTGATCTCAGAAGGAAGACAAGTTATCCAACATGTTTCTGAGACATCTTTTCTATTCATAATTAGAATTTAGAAACAGGAGTTACATAAAAATCTTCAAAAAAAGGGAAAAGTACAGCCTAAAGAAACTTATTTATTTTATTTTATTTGTGAACATACTGTACAGAGGGGCTACAATTACAAGAGCAGGATAATGCGTACATTTCTTACCAAGCATTGCAGCCTCCTCCTTTGTTTACCCTTCACATCCCTTCCGAGCCTCCCCCCTCCCCCCAGAAACTTATCTCTTAGGAAAGAAAACATTAAAAACTATGTAAACTTCAATTTCCTTTCCCCATTGACAAGAATACCTCACTGAAGTGATGCTTTAAGAATGTAGATTAAGTCCAGCACTGATGGCTCATGGCTATAATTAGCTACTCAGGAAGCTGAGATCTGAGGAATACAGTTCGAAGCCAGCCTGGCTAAGACTCTTTAAAAAAAAATTATTGTAAAGATACTGTACAGAGGGGTTACAGTTACATGAGTATGGTAATGAGTACATTTCCTATCGAGCATTGTAACTCCCCCCTTTGTTTTTCCCCTACTATCCCTTCCCTCCCACCTCCCTAATTCTTCCCTCCCCCCACCCTGAAGTTGTAAAGTTCATTTTCAACATATCTTCAATGAACCACCAGAAAACTGGAAGTGGAACTGTGGCTTAGGGTCAATGCCCAGGATCTGAGTTCAAGCCCCATTTAAAAAAAAAAAAAAAAGGAGGAGGAGGAAGAAGTGAAGGAGAAGGAAAAGAAAGAAGGAAGAAGGAAAAAGGAAAAGAGGAGGAGGAGACAGAAGATGAATGAGAAGGAGAAGAAAGAAAGAAAAAAAGAAAGAAGGAAAGAATAAGAAAGGAAGAAGAAAGAAGAAGAAAGAAGGAAGAAGAAAGAAGGAAGAAGAGGAGTGGCGCTGTGGCTCAAGTGGTAGAGTGCTAGCCTTGAGCTGAAGAGTTGAGGGACAACGACCAGGCCCAGAAAGAGAAGGAAGAAAAAAGGAAGGAAGAATAAACAAGGAAGGAGGAGGAGGAGGAAGAAGAAGAAGAGAGGAGGAAAGAAAGAAGAAAGAAGAGGAAGAATGTAGCTCAGTCAGGTGCTGGGAGCTCACCCCTATAATCCTAGCTACTTAGGAGGCTAGAAGTGATTGAAGTTATTAGTTCAGACAGGAAGTCTGTGAGACTCTTTATCTCCAATAAACTTCCAAAAAGCCAGAAGTGAGCTGTGGCTCAAGTGGTACAGTGCTACCTTTGAGCAAAAGAAGTTTAAGGACAACACTCAGACCCTGAGTTCAAGCCCTAGGATCAGCACACTGATAAAAGAAAAAAAAAAGTAAGCCAGGTACTGAAGGCTCATGCCTGTAATCCTAGTTGCTCAGGCTGAGATCTGAAGATCTTGGCTCAAGGCCAGCCCAGGCAGGAGGTCTTTGAGACTTTTATCTCCAATTAGCAAAAAGCCAGAAGTAGAGGTATGGCCTCAGTGGTAGAACATCAGCCTTGAGCCAAAAAGCTAAGTGAGAGCATGAAGTCGAATTCTCAATATTGGAACAACAAAAAACGTAGCTAGTCTTTCCAATTCCTAACAAATGGGGCAATGTCAAAATTATATTAAGTGAAGTAAGCCAGGCCCAAAGAAACTTAGGTCCCATGGTTTCCCTTATTTGCAATAACTAGTATATGTCTGAGTCAAGGAGAAAAGGTCAGATAATTGATGTTAGGGAAATGAACCCTATGATATGTATTCAAATGTTTTTTTTTTCTTTCAGGTGATTGTTTCTAACACATTTATAAGATTATTTCTTTGTTGCTTTGTATATCCCTCCCCCATGGTATAACCCCTGCTTTCACTGTATTTGATGTTGGTATAATTTGTGGAGGGGAAGGGAAAAAACAAATCGTTTAAATAGGGATACAGTTGGATCCATTGCAACAATGGATGTACAATGTACAATGAGATGTACAAGCTGTTATTTGGAAAAATGAACTTTAAAACTTTGGTGGTGGGGGGAGGAGGATTAGGTGGGAGTCGAGGTAGGATGGGAAGGGATGGGAAGAGGAAACAAAGGAGGAGGCTACCTACAATGCTTGATAAGAAATGTACTCATTATCTTGCCCGTGTAATTGTAACCCCTCTGTACAGTATTTTCACAAAAACAAAAAACAAAAAACCGTAGCTAATGAGCTGGCACTGATGGTCATGCCTGTCATTAAATCTATGTGGGAAGCTGAGATCCAAAGAGGTTTTAGGCTAGCTTACAAGACCTCATCTCAACAGAAAATGCTAGGTATGGTGGTATTCCCATTATCATACCTTAATAGGAACAATAAATAGGAAGATCAAAGTCCAGGCTAGCCCAGGTAAAAAGTAAGACCCTATCTCAAAAATAACCAGAATAAGAAGAGCTGAAGGAGTGGTTCAAGTGCTACAGTACTTTCTAGCAAGTATAAGACTCTAAGTTCAAACCCCACTTCCTCCCACCCCCCAAAAAAGAAAGAAAAAGAACATAGCTAATATGAAGGCAGAACATAATGCCTCCTTTAGTTCTTAAATAAAAGCTGAATTGCCACTGTACCCAAATTGACCACCAGAGGGCATGCCAATTACAATATAAAGGGAGACCAAGCATTACTAATGTTAACTGAAGCTGTCAATGTACTTTCTAATTTAAAAAATTATTAGAGATTATTTATAATTTTACAGTTTAATTTTAACCATTTTTAAGTAGCCATAGAGAAAGGAGACTTGTATATAAAATACTGATTTTTGATCACCCATTTAATGATATGACCTATATAAAGAAAATAGCTCAGTCATTTGCAACTATAAAACCTTAACTTCAAGAAGGATTTTAGAGTGTAGCCACAGCATTCAATAAATAAGGAAACTACTGCCAGAAGATGTAAAGAAATTTGGGAAAGGGACCATTGTTAATAATAGTAATAATTAAACTTACATTTTGAATTTTATTCCAGAGTTCTTCATACATCTCAAAGAATTATCATTTTACTTAAAAATCATAACCAGCTATTTCTAAATCTATGTGGAAGCCCTAAGGCGGATTCTTCAACTGTGTTCAATGGAATACTTGTCAAAAGCTTAAAGATGTCTACATAAAAACCAACCAAAAATAAAATAAGGAAACAAAGCAGCTACAAATCCAGTGGAAATAACTTGAGGCACAATACTTACCAGCATTCAGACAGCTACTTTAAATTTGACTAAAATAAGGTAATAACGTGTTCTCTACAAGATTTTTTTTAATGCTTTATACTTTATATCTTGCTGTGTATTTGCTTATATTCATTTCTCACACAAGTAATTGCTCCATGGTATTAAACGTATATAAACTGACTTAAAGTTTCTTTTAAACCATAGATTGCATAACAACTAATATAAATTCAATAAAATGAATAAAATTCCTACCTAAAGTAACCTTTCCCATCATCTTCTTTTATTTCTAAAGACACAGAGAAGGTAAAGATGTCACTGTCAGGAGTCTGCGGTGCTGTAGGGGCTGAAAGGGGGGTCTGCTTGGCAGAGCGGCGGAAGGCAGTGGCAAAGCTATAAAGTATCCGGCTTACCTACAACCAGACATTAGAAATTGGGGCTGTTACCATTAAGACAGGAAATAGTTTTATTAAAGCTAGAAGGTTACCTACTTTGGGGAATAAACACCTTTCTCCTACTTATTTATTTTAGCACATTATCTGTTAAGTAACTAAAGCAAGAAGTAAAATCACCAAAGAGGGGTTTAAAAAGTAAAAATGCATTAGAAATACAAGTGAAAAATTACTTCTTAAATGTTACAAACTATCTGAATATATTTTTTAATAATAAAAAATAATCCTGACAAGTTTAGGTCTGTAAGAATAGTCTGCAAAAGGCACTGCTGGAATGAAGATGCAGGTCTAACCCAATCAAGAAATATCCAACTGCTCTCCTCTGATATTCCTAGCAGCCATGGGGTCAAGGTGAAATTTTTCTCTTAAGGACTCACAGCTTCTTGTATCTCACACCGGAAGACGTGTATTCTGAAGAGTTCTGCATTGTAGTGACTTTCAGTGAAAGCAAAACAGTCACTCTCAGGAGTTCCATCATGCCCTCTGACACAGAAGAGGATTTTGTAGATAGGGTAATTAGCTATTTCCATGTTTGTCTGAGGATCTAAGAGTCTGTTCAGATAAAAAAGATAAAGAGTAGAACATTTACCAACTTATATTCATGTTAGAACTCAAGACATCTTTCAAACAATAATTACATAATTACATATATGGTCTTATGGTTGGAGGAAGCAAGGAGAGCTGTATAAAAAATATCAATAAGCAACCAAACAATAGCCCTTTCTAAAAGTTTCTCTGGGTATCAGTTTTCTTTGAAAAAAAAACAACTTAGTAGCTACACGGAATAGCCAACATTTAACAAGGTTTTGTTGGTTGTTGTTGCTTTCTTGTGTGTGCTAGTACTGGGGCTTGAACTTAGAGACTAAGTGCTATCACTTAGCTTTTTCTGTTCAAGGCTAGTGCTCTAACACTGGAGCCACAACTCTACTTCCAGGTTTTTTGCTAGTTGACTGGAGAAGAGTCTCATGGATTTTCTTGCCTGGGCTGACACTAACTGTGATCCTCAAATCTGAGCTTCTTGAGTAGCTAAAAGATTATAGGGGCAAACCACCAGTGGTTGACACCAATAGGATTTTGGAATTTCAAAACTCAGTCTGAAATTCTATTTTGAAATAGTGTGACAATCTAGCATTTTGTTTTTGTTTTTGTTTTTTTTTTTGGGTCCAGTCATGGGGCCTGAACTCTGGGCCTGGGTGCTGTCCCTCAGCTCTTCAGCTCAAGGCTAGCGCTCTACCACTGGAGCCACAGTACCACTTCCGGCTTTTTTTCTTTTTGCTCATTTGGTGCTTAGGAATCGAACCCAGGGCCTCTTGCATGCAAGGCAAGTGCTCTACCACTGAGCCACCTTCCCAGCCCCATAATCTAGTATTTTTACTCTGGGAATATGTAAGATATAAATTGTTAGGCAGACTATCATGGTCAATATATTCAATTATTCCTAAACTAAATCTCTAATGTGTTATACTGGATTGGGTGTAGAGAATATACAGAACAAGGACAAATGAGTTTCCCTGGTTTTTTTTTTTGGGGGGGGGGTTCTTTGGTACTGGTTCTGGGCCATAAATGCAGGGCCTGGACAGTATAACTTAGCTTTTTTGCTCACAGCTAGCTCTCTACCACTTGAGCCACAGCTTCTCTTTGGCTTTTTTTGTGGGGGAGGGAGGGTTAACGAGACAGGAGTTCCTGGACTTTCCTGCTCAGGCTGGCTTTGAACTGTGATCCTCAGATCTCAGCCTCTTGAGTAACTAGGATAGTTGTGAGCTACTGGTACTGGGTGAGAGTATACATCCCATTTTTCATGAGGTTATTATCCTTGGAAAATGAAGAAAGCTTTCAATGAATGAAATAATTATGCATTTTGCTGACCAATGCTGCTTTGTAAAACAGATCAGAGATCTAATGTGAATTTTACATACGTTTCGAGAGGCTGCTCTCACCTCACAGTTCCTTCAGATACATTCGGCACTGATAGGGTCACGTCCAGTGAAATCTGACACTGACTTCTTAAGATTGACATCATTCTTAGGGCCTCTACTTCACTTCTTGGAGCATTAACTGAGGCACAGCCTAAATAGGTTAGTTTACTGAAAACCACACTGTCCTCATCAGCCACTGGTGTAAAAGGGCTTGCTGCTTCAGAATCTGAAAGAAACAAATACTAGAGATGATTCTTTTCATTCTTATCTTGTCTGAATATAAAAAGCAAATAAAAATCTTCAAGTAACGTTTAGGCTCAGAAAAACTGCTCATAGAAACCAGAAAGCCTACACTACAGTAACAGCAAAATGTTTAGGAGATTAGTTAAGAATTAACTCCAAATCCTGAAAGTCACCCAAGATTCAGATCTGATTCTTTTTTTTGTTGTTGTTGATAGTGGAGCTTGAACTCTGGGCCTGGGTGCTGTCCCTCAGCTCTTCAGCTCAAAGCTAGCGCTCTACCACTTGAGCCACAGCACCACTTCCAGTTTTCTAGTTGTTTGTTGGAGATAAGAGTCTCATGGAGGGCTGGGAAGGTGGCTCAGTGGTAGAGTGCTTGCCTTGCATGCATGAGGCCCTGAGTTCAAGTCCTCAGCACCATATAAGCAGAAAAACCCAGAAGTGGTGCTGTGGCTCAAGTGGTAGAGCGCTAGCCTTGAGCTAAAGAGCTGAGGGACAGTGCCCAGGCCCAGAGTTCAGGCCCCAAGACCGACTAAAAAAGAAAAAAGAAAAAGAAAGAGTCTTATGGACTTTCTTGCATGGGCTGGCTTTGAACTGTGATCCTCAGATCTCAGCTTCTTGAGTAGCTAGGATTACAGATGTGACCCACCAGCACCTGGCCTGATTCACTTTTTTATAACTCTTCCAACTGGACTTTCTAACTTAAATTCAAGTGAAATATACATGTAGTATTTGAGCATTTTTGGCAATCCTGTCTTCTTTCTGAACCTTACAGTTATAGTTCTTTAATTCACCATCTTAGCCACTATATTGTGTTCACTTAATATCCTTGCTATCACTCCATTCTTTCAAATGAAGCTTTATAACTAGTCCTTTCTTTCTCTCTCTCTTACTATGCTTTTCTGTCTAGTTTTGCACATGCCCGTTTCCAACTTGGCAGCAATTACTCACAGAGAGTTACTGGAACCAACATCTATTCACCAAGCATTGTCTCTCAATTTCTGCAGCACTGCATTCAAATTCCTTCTTTACTGGAAAACTTTTTTTTGGTCCTAGTCATGGGTCTAGAGCCTGAGTTCAAGACTCAGGGTCTATGTGCTGTCCCTGAACATTTTTGCTTAAGGTTGGTGCCCTACCACTTGAGCCATAGCTCCACATCTGGTATGTTTCGTGTGGTTAATTGTAAATAAGAGTCTCATGGACTTTCCAGCCCCCGCTGGCTTCAAACCATGATCCTCAGATCTCAGCCTCCTGAACAGCTAAGATTACAGGTGTGAGCCACTGATGCTAGTCTGGGAAAACTCTTTAAAGCTCCATGGAGGGGTAGGGGAAGACTCCCTTCTCAGTGTCATCTAACTACCATATCTTCCTTAGTGTAACTGAAATACAGTTAAAAGGAAAATCAGAATGATATATATGCATTTACATATGTATGTATATATATACACACACACATATATATATAACACATTTTCCTAAATGTAGAATCTGTAATTTCCAGAGAATTTAGATAATTCAAGATAACTCCTATCTTATTCTGAGTCAAATCACATGGCAGACACCAAAATATTAAAAACAATAACCTTCAATTACGCAAGCAATGCAGCAACCCTAACCTCCTTGTCCAGGTTTCACAGGCAGGCTCATCTCAGGTTTCTGGAGCCCAACTAATGGCACAGGGTTAATGGTGGATGAAGCTGAGAGTTGATTAGCAAGAGGCCCATCTCCTTCGCCATCCAGTTGTGACCTTTCTACAAGCTCCTTGTCCCCTGGCTGGTCGTCCATGGGAGGATCCATCAGCACATCTGCTAGCTCTTTCTGCAGCTGCTGCTCACTTCCATTCCCTACAATCTAAGGGTCACAAGTACAAGCAATCAGTAATGCAAGGGGCTCATTTCTGAAGACAAGTACAAGTATTTCCTTAAGTATCTTCTGAGTGTTGAAAAATAGAATAATCAATAACCAATAATAAGGACTGTAGCTGCTCTCTTAATTCATAGTTTTGCATTAAAAATGATAATGATTTGCAAACAAATATCCAGAAATACATGTGAAGCCTGCTGGCCAGTGTTAGTAACATTTTCCACAAATGTCACAACTGGTAACAACTGAATTATGTCATTCTCTATGTCTGCTGAGAAAACTTATCCTTTCTTTAAAATTTTCTTTTCTTTTTTTTAAATAAGTTATTTATTGTAAAAATACTGTACAGAGGAGTTACAGTTATATGAGCAAGGTAATGAGTACATTTCTTATCAAGCATTATTGCCTCCTCCTTTGCTTTTCACCTACCATCCCTTCCCTCCTACCTCCTCAACTACACTCCCTGTTCCCCCCACCACCTAAACTGTAAGGTTCGTTTTTCAACATAGTGTCTTGTACATCTCATTGTTATAATGGGTCAACCTGTATCCCTATTTAAACATTCTGTTTTTTCCCCTTCCCCTCCCCAAATGAGATCGATCAAATACAGTGAAAACAGGGGTTATACAATGGGGGAGGGACATACAATGCAACAACAACAACAACAACAAAAATCACATAGTACACTATAAATACACTAGAAACAATAGCAAGAAAGAAAAAAACTACTTGTGGCCCTATCTTGGGGCTTAACATCATCTTATCTGGTCATATGTACATAGCTTTTGACCTTTTCTGCTTGTCTCAGACATATACTAGTTATTGCAAATAAGGGAAACCATGGGACCTAT